GTAGAAAGATCTAGGCTCTAAAATAAGTCTTGGCACTTACTTAGCTTAATTTAACTAAATTTACTCAAGTTCCAGAAGCTAGACTCGAGAATCCCTGAATTGTACTCCTACTTTATAAATCTAGATGTGTATGCACTGTCTGGTTCCATGCGATTACGGGACCGCCTAATTCTTCTGATCTGTGCAAGGATGGATGCTGCTTTCCTGATTTCTATCCTGGAAAACACCACCTTGAAATGCTTAATGTGTTCTTTTATTTGAGCTCTATATAGAATCTGAAAATCTTCAAAATCAATAGGAGAGAAAAAATGTTTGTCTCTTATATTTTACTGCTTGCTTATGAGACATCCTCCTCCTGTGCCTGCTGTTTCCTGGATGGTAACTTTACCTTTGCCCCTAAAGGCGGGTGTTCTCTAGAGCTCTTGCATGCTCCGACCACATAACCTCTGTGGGTAATATCATCTGTTCACTTGAAACTATCAACTTCATGTTTATGTTTGCTTCATCTATACATTCTTTCACCACTCTTGTGAGTAATAAATCTGTATAAACAACTACCTGATGAACTATTTACTTTTTATATGCCATCCTGTTCCCAAATAAACTTCGGGGAGCTTAAATGGGTAGTATAACAACCAAAAATATGCTTAATTTCATTTAATAAGAACCCTAATATAGTTTTGCTGTGAGGTACTAGTCAGTTGTTATCTCTATGTGAGCTAAAAAAAAAAAAAAAAATAGGTAAAAGTTTTTAAGGAGCTAGGCTAGTTCTCTAAGTCTAGGACACTTCTTTACTTTCCTTGGGCAATTTCAATACAAAAAAGCAAACAGAAGAAGAAGAAAAAAGAGTCTATGTCTGAACCATCTACACATACCTTTTCTACCAAAGAGAAAAACTGAGGCTTGTATTCTTACTATCTCCTTGAGAGTACATGTTAATAATTTTAGGAGCTCTTTGTATTGACAGGGGTAAACTAACAGTATGGGTTAAGACTTTAAAACTGAACCTACCCATGCACATTAACCTTATCTTTAATACTGAAAACAAAAACAATAAACATTTACTTTCAGATGTCTAAGCTAAAGCTTACGGACATGCTATAGGGCAAAATCTTAGGCAACAGACTAACCTAGATGAGAAGGCACAGATCCTTAGAGTGAAGACCATGGACAAAAAGACAGTTATAAGCAATGCCGGGAGGGGATCTCAGGTTCAATGCAGCACTTCAGTTTAAGACACTAACTAGATTGTACCCAACTGCTGCAAAGAACCAATACTGCTGGCAAATTCTAATTTACTTATACATCAAATATCTCAGAGTAGTAGTCGGGTAATTTTTATCTTTAATAAATTCAAGCTGTTACAACAGTTCATATTTTTTTAAGTTACCCCACTAGTATCTTCAAAGAGTGCTAAAAAAAATTATCTCTAATGGAGATTATTTTATAAAGTATTAAAATACGTACCATTTTAGAAAGGAATTTCACTTCTCACTTTTTAGATTGAGCCATTTGGTGTACTTTGAAGACAAGTACACTATCAGTTACTAATAGAGCCTTGGTTTCATGCTTTAAATGAGCAGGAAATAGAAAACGAAGAATGAATAATAATACTTTTACCACTACCACATTTAGAATTACAAGTGTATTTATTTACTTGCCTCTCAGCTGCTGAAGTGATAGAAAGTCTGTGCCAATCTCGATCATTACAGGAAGAAATGGGGACTTTCAAATTTAATAGAAAAATTCTAGTGCTTTGAGCTTTCCAACAAGAAATTGCCTACATTTTTTTTAAAAAGTATCTTTTCTACACTATTGAATACCACATTTTTGATGACTATAAATGGAAAAATTTGCCAAATTATTAGGAGTTTGGTGAAAATAACTCTTACTTTATTTGTACTGAAAATATTTTTAAATTTAAAAAGCAGGGACAAATACTGTACATGCTCAAAAATTATTCAGTAATAACTCAGCTGCAAAAATATTGTCTATCCATTTTTCTTACAGCTTTTTGCAACCATGTAACAGTCAAGTATTATAGACTGCCTTAAACGTTTGTATTCTACATACACAGAACGAGTACTTATAAGCTACCACTATAAAAGTCATTTTTAAGTCATCTTAGCATTGTCCTCCTTGTCAATAAAGTGTCCATGTTTAAACTGTCACTGTGAGCCCAGCCGGCATGGCGCCTCAGCGGTTGAGCATCAGCCTAGGATCCAGGCGATCGGGGTTCGATTCCCGGTCGGGGCACATGCCCCGGTTGCGGGCTCGATCCCCAGTCGGGGGCGTGCAGGAGGCAGCCGATCAATGACTCTCTCATCATTGATGCTTCTCTCTCTCCCTCTCTCTTCCTCTCTCTGAAATCAATAAAGATATATTAAAAAAAAAAACAAAAAAAAAACTGTCACTGTGATAATTAAGTAATTATAAGCCACCAGTATAACACAACAACTTGAAAACAGGGCTTCTGCAGCCAATTTTGGAATTGAGCCCTTATTTACACTAATACACATAATCTGTTTGGAGATTTTGAAAACAAAAGTACAGGAAACAACTGTATGCTTTCACGGAATTTAAGTACCTCCAAACTCCAGTTCCTTTCAAAAAGAATTACCAAAAACGCAGCCACGTTTTTACATGACGAGACAATAAAAATAACTTGGTATCTGCCTTGCGTATTTCCTATAATAAGTAATTATGTTTATATGTAGAAGTATAACGAGACTTATGTATTTTACTATTCAACCGTGACTTTAAAAATGTCTAACTCCCCAGACAAAAATAGGTTACCTACAATGTGCAATTCCTCAAGGTCAGCTCTTCCGGTTTCTTTCTACCAACTCTCACTGCTTTCTGCTTGTCGGTCGGTAAAGACAGGTAATTACACAGACTAATTCTTCACTTCCTGTTTCTCTCTGGCCTACTTCTAAATGCTCAAATCGTATCACTTCCTTTGAACTGTGAGATCAATACGTGAAGAATGAATAAGTGGTTAATTATTAATGGTTGCCTTTATTGTCTCTTTAGCATAGGGAGTTTCCATATTTTGAAATACTATGTGCAAACTGTTTTATAATTTTACTGTAGCACCGAATCTGTTCTTCCAAAGAAAGGAAGTTGTGTTCGGTGGTTTGCTTCTCTGGCCAGATTTTGAATTCTACACAGGCCATAAAGGACTTCAGTTTTAAATTTAAAAAACTTTTATCAAGTATCATTTAAGAAAAGATGTACCCTTACTTGTTTAATAACTACCCTTTAAGAAATAAAAATAAATATATTTTATGAACGTCGTTCACTAGTATTGTATACATTCTCTGGTTTCTTAAAAACACCCACTTTGGTCAGTATCAACATATAAAAAACTACTTACTATAAATTACTATGCTTGTACTATCAATAAAAATATGCTAATATATATTCTCTGTGAGATTAGAGATCTTATAGCAATTCATACCCACACTCTTATGGCATGGATTTTTTTAAAAATCATTCTTCCATTTTTTCCTTCATTGCTCCTTTTCACCTTTGGATGTTTTGAGTGTAACTACACTGACCAGGCTTTTCTAAAAATGTTGCTACTCTACTTTGAGGTAGAATAGTAAATAAGCTAGAAAACTAGACAGAATATTGTGTCCAGAGGGGAAAAAGAAGCAGAAGAGGGTGAAGGCTTTAGAAAGAAAGGTGAAGGGTTCTTCCTAGTAAACAAAATAAAAGGCAGTAATGTATAACAGATTATGTGGTACTTAAGTTTTTCTTCAGACAGTCTCTATGTTCCAAATACCAGTGACTGATGGATATTAACTGCACTAAATCATAACTACCCATGATTTTAATATATATGAGAAGATTCTAAGCAAAACGCCAAGGGTACCACACTTGGAGGAAAAAAGATGCCAAGAGTCTGGTGCTCTGTGTTCAGGGAGAAGAAATGCGACACCAGCATCCGTAGCTTTTTTTGTATCCTCTCTATATGCAGGAAGGGAACTGTCCACTTGAGAGATAGAAGCTTGTAACATACTTTCCAATAAATCATCTTTAAAACACAAAATTAACCAATGGTTTATCACCCAAATAAATGGGTATGTGTGTGTACAAATAAACATCAGAGAAAGTGTGTGCACATTATATGCTTTCTTCACTTGAATTGTTTTTGTTTGGCTTTGTTTTTTTTAAAGCTAGGGATAAAGAGAATGAGCAGACAGGCCACAGGCTGGCAGGAAATATTTGCAAAAGCCCTATCTCATACAGGATTGTTACCAAAATATAAAGAACTCTTAAAACTCAACAGTAAGAAAACAAAAAAAAGGGCAAAAGATCTGAACAGATACCTCACCAGTGAAAGTAAAATGGCAGGTAAGCGTATGTAAAGCTGTTCAACACTGTGTGTCATTGGGGAGTTGTGAATTAAAACAAGGAGATACTATTACACACCTATTAGAACGACCAAAATCTGAAACACTGACAACAAATGCGGGTGAGGATGTGTAGTAACAGAAACTATCATTCACTGCTAGTGGGAATGCAAAGTAATACAGTAACTCTGAAAGACAGTTTGGAATTTCTTACAAAACTAAACATACTCTGGTACCTCTCTGTACTCTCTGCTATTTTTCCTGTAAAAATAAAGTTTATTAATTTAAAAAATTAAGGTGCAATTACTCCCAGACTCAGACATTTAAACATTCTTGATCTTAGAAAATTACAGAATTCTGAAGCCCTAAAATACAAGATTACAATTGAAATATTACATATTCATACCCTTTATTTTTTTATCAAAGATGTGTGTCACATATTCTTTCTGATATGTCAATCTATACAAAAATGATAAACATTTAAATGAACATTTATAAAGTAGAAATCAGCATTAGTGGGTAAAACTCAATTTAACAAATAGGCTGAATTATGGACTGCTTCCAGTCTCTTTAAAATATTATAGTAATTTTACCAATTTGGATGCAGTTGCTACAATGGGATAGTAACACATGAATATTTACCTTTGAGTCATAATTTTGAAGGCATCTGGGAGGTAGCAGTCTGTATTCTCCATCTGAAATGGGTCAGCATCACATATCTTGTCGTCTGTCCGACCATAGTTAGCGCTCTCAATCATGATGACGTCACTGCCCGGACATCGCAGATCTATAGAATAACCTTCACAGGACAGTTCTCGCCTAACTAACCCAAATGGTAAAGCTGCTCTGCTGAAACCTTTAAAGAAATAAGATAAAATTAAATTAAATTAACTTACTTACAAAGTATATTATTTAAATAAGGCATTTTCAAGTGATATAATTCTGGTCCATATTCAAGAGATGTCACACAAACTGTGTTTTTTAAGTCATCCATTCATACATTTATTTAAATCCTTGGTTCTTTACTATGTGTCAAGAATTTATTTTATATATATATATATATATATATACACACACACACACACACACACACACACACACACACACACACATATATATATATATAATATTCCTTTAGCTCAACTACTCACCTTTATAAGACAATTTAAAAATACTCTAAACAAAATACTTTCCAGTGTAATCTAACCATAGTCACTAAGTGGATTTTTTGAGCGAATTTAAAGAAAAATGACAAATTTAACTAATGCATTTATAAATATTGACAAGCTTTACAAATATAGAATGTAACAACTAATGAAGAAATGGGATTCATTTATGCAACTGAATAAAAACTCGCCTATAAGCTGGCCTTATATTCTCATTTAATGCAGACATATTCATTCCTGTTAGTAGCATTATCTTAAAAATACTTTTGTCTTAGCAGTTTCCCCCCAAAATAACTAAGACACTATGACAGTAACACACTATGGCACAATAACTTATTTCAATTTATACACACTGTATTTAAAACTGACAAAAGTCAACAGATGGGCATTCAAAGGAGCCAGCACTGCTCCAGGGCAGTCCAGCAAGTTGAAACAGCCGGAAAGGGTGAAAGTTCTCTAAGATTCAGTTCTGTAAATCTACAGAATGAAGATAAAAAGCATCTGTGGTGTTTCTTTTCCTAGCTGTGTGGCTCTAAAAGGAGATAATGTACATATATAAGCGCTTACTTAGAAATCCTGTATGAATTTATGTACATTGCATTAGGCAGAGTATACATAACTACCGTTCACGAATGCTATGAAAAAAGATTCCCAGATGAAATAAAAGATTAGAATTTTAAGTGTAACCATTTTTCAACCAGGAGTCCCAAAGTAGTAACAGAGCATAAGAGAAAGGGTAAAAACAGCAAAGCCAAGAACAGTCAAGAAGACCTGTGGGGGAGGCACGTCTTTGCTACCCTGGTTGGCTTACCTGTGGCTTAGCTGCCGTATCAGAAACCTCCCCTACCCGCCTCAATTGTTTCATTTCAGTTACCTAACCTACTGTCATCTATAGTATTCCTGTTACAAAATACCAGCAATAATTTTCTTATCTCTATCCTTTAATTACTCTGCATCACATGAATTATTCCTTATATTCCCTTTTTTACTGAAAAAACACAAACCTTCAGAAGTAAACTGTTCTAAGGCAGAAACTTCCAAGTTAAAAGCTGGGTTGTGTCCAGGTCAATCCAAAGCCAAAACCTAGCTCTCTTTAACTTTTACTGCAGAATGCCTCTCACTAATTCATTGAAACAGAAAGTCACCTGGATAAACATGCACCCTCTTTCTAAGATGCAAATAATCCTCCAAAAGGGGTACTGGGTTACACATTAGTAGGATTTAGAAAATTAGCAATTCTCAAACTTGGCTGGCCTCTCAGTTCTACTGAGAAAACTAAAGGAATAATTGAAATGACGAGAGAAGGAAAGAACACAGTTTGGAGCACAGAAACCTTTAGGGGATTGTGGCAAACCCCAACTTCGGTAAGTTTTCACTAGGAAGGTTTATGGTCTTATGAGATTACTAAAAGTGTGTGGAGAGGTGCATTATCAATGAAGAAGAAATACAGAAACTGAGCTGGGAAAATGTCAAGACAAACAGTAAACAGGCCAACCTTTCAAAGGGTTTGTTTATGAACTTCTACAAGTTCATAAATAAACTTTATATATACTATTGCTTTCTCCCATTTCCAGATACTAGACTGAACTGCCCTTACAAAGAATCCAGCTTAAACTAGTAATATTGTATTTGTTTTAATTTGAAATAATTTTATGGTTTCAGAAAGGACACATTTCTGTAGCAAAAGCTATGTGGAAATTCAAACAAGTGACCTCATAAAATTTGAGAGCACGGCATAATTTAAATAAAAACATTGCAATTAACATTAATTTTAAAAATTCAGTATTTTTGCTAAGTAAATCTTATGAAAAGGCAGAACAAAACTTATTCCTAAACATTTATTTAACCCCTTTTTGTATACACTAGTGACTTACTATACTGAGTCACACAGAAGAAATCATCACAAGTATGGCCGCTAATTCTTTTTTTTATATATATATCTTTATTGATTTCAGAGAGAGGAAGGGAGAGGGAAAATCATCAATGATGAGAGTCATTGCTCGGCTGCCTCCTGCACGCCCCCGACTGGGGATCGAGCCCACAACCTGGGCATGTGCCCTGACCGGGAATCGAACAGCGATCTCCAGGATGCTAGCTCGATGCTCAACCGCTGAGCCACATCCGGCTAGGCTGGCCGCTACTTATTAATCACACTTTCTTCCTTTGTCCATGAAGTAATTCTTAATTGTTTAAACTGGGTATTTTAAAGAAAAAATGTTTTAAATAACTTGCCAAGGCTCTACTATTGATTCCTAAACATGACTTGGCATCAGAGTCATCTGGTAAAGTGTTTTTAAAATGACAGATCTTCAAGCCCTAATCCAGATCTATTCAATTAGAATCTCTGGGTTCAAATGAAACCAAGATATCTGAATTTGGGGAGGAAAACTGTGAGCTTATTTGCAGCACACTGATATATAATAACTACGATGTGCCAAGAATTTCTCCAAGGCCTTATAAAATAGTTTTTATTTCTCTATTGAGATTATATATTTTTAAGTCATTGTCATCATATTTCCCCTTAATTCTCTAAAGTAGTTTTATTTTAATCTTTGAACATATTCTTAACAGCCACTCTGAAATGTTTATCTGCTAAATCTAACCTCTGAGCCCATGTCAGAGGAAGTTTCTACAGAATGCTTTTTCTCCTGAGTATGGGTCAGCTTCCCTGTCTCTCTGCATGTCTTCTACTGTTTTGTTGTTGAAAACTAGACATTGGAAACAATACACTGTTAGGAACACCTGATTCAGATCTCTTCCCCTGAGAATTGTTACTGCTGTGTTATTTCCTATTTAGTATCATGACTGGATTTAAATCTGCAGGTTTGTCTCCCCAGTAGTATACAGCTCCTATGTCTCTCTGTATTGTTGTTACTATTATTATTTTAATTCTTTTTTTTAAATTTATCTTTATTGTTGAAAGTATTACAGATGTCCTCCCCTTTTCTCCCACTGACCCCCCTTCCCCATACCGCTCCTGTACCTCCACACCAGGACTTCTTATTTTTATTTTCTTGCCTGGGCTTTCTGGATCACCTTGTCTCTGCCTAGCTTAGTGATCAGCCAATGACTGAGCAGAGACTCTTCACAAAAACCCCTAACCTGTAAGTTCTCTAACCTCTGCTGACTGACCTGAGTGTGTGTTAGGGAGAGTGTTCAGAATCCAGGACACATGGTCAAGTCAGCCTGGGATATTTTTCTTCTGGACACGTGTGTAGCTTCCAGTTCATCAAGAAAGCACAGAGAACTCTGGCTTTTTCATTCCAAGATTTCCTGGTTATGTTTCAGACTGGCCCTCCAGTCTCCCCGCCTGGGACCACCACCTCAGGCAGAGCTACCAGTTTTCCAGTGTTGACCACTTTTACTGACAACACTGCTGGGCATGGGTTTCCACCCTCCACTCCAAATCAAGCCAACTTTCCCTGGCAGCAAAGTCACTGAATTTCAAGGTCAGCCTTACCTTATTGAAAGGACCAAACAGACAAACATAGCTAAGAAGTTAGGGGTTGGAGTGGGATAGGAGGAATCCTAGGGTAAGAAGGCTTGTTCACACCAGAAATTCTACCAGCTTTTCATCACTAAATGCTTCCCAGTTTCTTATATGGCTTCGGTTCATTTCCAGAGCCCTAAAATAATGGTTGATGCTGACAACTGTGAAGGGAAAGGATTTGCCACTCTGGTCACCCCATCATCAGCAAACGTTCTTCTAAAGACTTTACAAATAAGTACTGACTATAAATTCTCAAAACAACTGTATGAAATAGGTATTGTTAGTATCACCATTTTACAGAGGAAGAAACTGAGGCATGGAGAATTATATTGTCCATGATCACACATCCAGTAAGAAGGAAACCAAGGTCTGAAACCTGGTAATTCAGTTCCCAGGTTCATGGTCTTAAATATTACTGAATGCTTCTCCAAATGACAACAGGCAGCAGGTCTGGGGACTCCTCCTGCTGCGGGCACAGTTAGGGTGTACTTTGTGCTTCTAGTCTTAGAGAAAGAAGGGCAGAAAAGGAAACAGTGCGTCTGACGGCCAAGTATTCCACGACATTGCTCTGCCAGCATAATCACCATAAAGAAATTCCCAAATTAAAGTCTTTTAATCACACAATTACTATGACATTTATTCTAAGCCATATTTTCAACCAATTCCTATTTCAACAAAGAAAAAAATAAGCATCCCAACAAGTAAAGTGTAATCCAATCCATCTCGCAACCCTGACAATCGAAGAAAAAACTTGCGGGAGGCCCTGGGAGCCGAAAAATCAATACTGCAGCTTTGTCGGTATTTTCTGTATTACCAAAAAAAAGTTGCAAACAACCTGAATTATCATAGAGGAATGGTCCAATTATGGTTCATCAATACCAGGGAACGTTATATTGTTTTAAAAGTGAAAAATATTTTTTTCTATGATCAAATAATATGTGTTTAATAGTATAAAATTTAGAAAGTACTAATAAAGAAAAAAAGAAAAAAATTCATACTTCCAGATGTGGAGATCATCTTATAACATATCATTTCTTGTGTTTCTCAGGGTGTGTGAGTGTGTGCGTGTGTATGCATGCATATGTATGTATACTTGTTTTTCCAATACTTGTTTTTCCAATAAAAAAGATATCACATTAAAAAAAAAATACTGCAGCTTTGTGCTGTGCAGATGTGAATGCTGCCAAAGAGGGTGCTCAG